TTTTGTCTCCCCAGTGGACCTTTAGTGTGGTAAACACAAGTTCATCGATTTGTGGTTCTGTTCATAATGTTCATGTTCTATTAGCATCGTTGTACTACTTTCTTAATAATTCGAGTCTAGATCTGTAATTTCCATGGTTTGGGATATGTAACATCAAGATATTGTAGGTCATATATTAGTCAAATTACTGACTTATGCATGAACACATAATCTTCCGTAAAAGCTCCTCTGACTTTGCTACTTTGTGCAAACATATTTTTGGTTTAGGTGCAGTTTATTGCTAGCTATGATTTGATATACACTTGGAACCTGTCGAATGAAGTTCGAGAGTCCAAATGACGCCACGTGTCTCTTTTCATAATCAGGTACATAACTATATTATTACAGGAAAGGAAAAACAAAAAAAATAAAAAAAACACAAAGTAGATATAACTGCAGTTAAAAGTTTCATTTGCTAGAGAGAATAATTCTCATTGTTTAAAAACTCTACAGAATAGGAGATTACACAATCATAATTCTTTATTAATACGGTGAAACTGGTCGAGCTGTAAACGTGGTTATCTACACGTAGTTAGTGAATAGTATATACTCTTTGATCTCCCTTTTACAGTAAGAACATACTGAAAGACCTATTAGGATTCTCTAGAAATAAAAACTCAGAATGATCGATCGGCAGCATAATAGATAACTCAATTTTTCGTGAAAATAGTATTATCATATTCTTGGAACTTCATTTTGCTATGGGTAGTTAATGTACTCCAAGCACTGCCTAATTTTTCTTTTTGAAGCTATTCATCTTTCATTAGCAATGAATGTGTTTTTAGACTCCTTTGTTCGATTTATTTTTATCGTATTGTGATAGGGTGTGATTTCTTGGACTTATTTACAACTACAGGAATCCGGATGCAATGTTTCACTTTCAACCAACACAACAGAATGTTCTGGAAACCGTGATCTAGAATTCTGATAATTAAATATAGCAGGTATTTGAACTCTCTTTTCAAGTTTGAGTCGTAAAATCTTTTTACATTTTTTCCAACAATTTCTTGCCATGTGCAGTTTATAGCCAATGTAGCCGAAATACTAAATGCTGTTACTAGAACCCTAACAGATAATCGCATACAAGATCGAATGTGAGTCGAATAACCTTGTTCGTCAACCTTTGGCTTCTTGAAATTCAACATTTTCTGTAAAGAAAAAAATCCAAATGCCAGTAATATGAGATTCCTAAATTTTGGCACATGTCGAGGTCATTTTTGCTTAGACATGTAAAATTGACATGGAGATCATTATGAACTGACTTATGCGCTGAATTATACTTGTGTGAATTGATTTATAGTACTGATATGTGTTTAATAGGGAAAAAATCCACCTAAGAGAACATTTGTAAAAGTAGAAAGAGACCATGTTATATATATTATAATGTCACATGTCCCCTGACAACTTTTAGTGTTTTTAGATTCTGCTTACATGCATGGAGATTTTGTTGTCAACTGAATGTTACTAGTGTAAGGTATGCAGTTATAGATCATGAAATATTGAACTGTGCACATTTAAGGAACAACTACGGAAGTTACCTTTTTGAAGTCCTACAAAAATATTTGCATTGACATTGCACATATGTGAAAGTGTTGCAAGCGTTGCATAGACCTTTAGTAATTCAGTCGCTTTTATTATGAGGTGCAAGTCGAGCGCATATGTGGACAGCAAATGCATACCATCCTCAAGTGTTACAATTAAAATAAATGCATGTTCATAATTGTTCACTCCATTTGGTTCAATAGGATTATCCATTGTTTCAGATGTTTTGTTTGTCCCCTTTTCTTGGCTTTTGCTTTTAACTTAAAATTATTTGGCTTATTTAAATAATATCACATAGAGAGACTTCAGCTTTTTTAAATGCAAGGAAATTGAACTACCTCTTTATTTGGAGTGCTCAAACATTTCATCTTCTCAAACCGTAAGATATCATATCGATACCCATACCACTTGATATATGTAAGTTCTCAACCCCCAAAAAAGGAGATAAAAANGAAAACCCCGAAAGACAACATTCAAATATGCCATATATATATTAAAAAAATATATATAACGATTTGTAGTTATTGTTTGGGCCGTTGATCTAGAGCGACATATCTCTTCAACCAAAGAGGCTTGCCCCCAACCCGTAGCTTCACTTTTTCATTATTGCCCATTATCATATTGGGCACCTCTGCATTTGTGAAGAGGATCCTTCCGAACTCGAATTCTTTATTCGGTCGACCAACACTATGTCGGTCGTGCACATACACATTTTCCACGCATTCCCCGTACTCACTGTCACAACACGAGTGATTAGAAAAAACAAAGTCAGTCAAACTAAATATTATCATGCATGAAATATATTTTCATATTTTTTTTTTCTTTTCTTTTTAATTCATTCGCAGACTAACTCGCTTGATTAAAAAAAAAATGATTAGTATATATTGAAATATATTCACTTTTTGAAATGTTGGCTGATTTCTCTCCACACTAGGGGAGACCCAATTGAGAAGGTCATGTATAATGACCTCTCTTCCCTTGTGCCATCTAACGGCTGATTGGGCACTTGTGCTGCTGTTTGTGCACCTGGGAAGAATGGCTCGGCATTTGCATTTAATCTGCTCATTTTTTTTTTTGCGAGTTTGGCGAATCTTTTATTTGGGGATTATGTGTGATTGGAGTATATTGTATGAACTATGTTAATACTGATGAAAACTGTTGATTTGCTGCACTTATTTATATTAGTGTTTATGATGTAGAAAGAAAGATAATTATGTTTGCCAGTTTGAGTTTGAGTGCAAGAGAATTTAGTGCTTTGATCTATTTTATAATTTTTGAGTTCATGCATCATATTTGTGCACAAATGATGATTCTGTGTTAATGTTATGGGCCAGTTGTATTCAAATGCATTATACTATGGTATCATTTTCCAGGAGAACAGCTACCATTTACAATAATCAAGATATCCTTGTTTTCTATATATCAAAAAACAAACAACAATAGAGATTAAATTTTGCGTCCTGGGAGAAATTTGAAGCAACTAAGATGACTAAGAATGAGAAATGACGTGAAAAGTGTGACAAAATTTTAAAGATAAGGAATTAATATGATATTATGTTCATCATCTCTTGCAGTTGAATTCATCAAGATTCTGCTAGTTTGCGCTACTTGTGTACAAATAGAGTTAGTTATTTTCAGTTTTGCGCTACTTGTGTACACTTAAGAGTTCGTTATTTTCAGTTTTGCGCTAGTTCCGTATCCTTATACTTTTCCTTAATAGTTACTCGATCAATTTAATGAGGTAAATTCGATGCTTCAGCCAATAAAGAAAAGGAAGAAAGAAACTTACTCATTTGTTATAACCAAATCTGATTTATTATAATCAAGTTTAGCGAAAGAAATTATCTTTCGATCTATGATCAATTCAAATTATGTATAGTTTAATTTTTACTTGTGCTTTCAGTTTTACTGCTAATTATATGAGCTCGAACATAGGTACTTTCCTTGCGTTTATTTTTGTTCATCTACCTTAGAGATAATTTGGATCGATTAGCTTGAATTTTTTTTTTTCTAGTTTATACTGTGAACTATCTATTTCTATTTTTTTTTTCTAGTTTATACTGTGAACTACTCAAGACAGCAACGCTCGGAAAGAAGAAAAAGGAAACAGAAAAAAATGGAAATATTACAATTAGTTGTCAGTTTGATTTGTTGATGTTTATGTTCNTATTGTAGGTCATATATTAGTCAAATTACTGACTTATGCATGAACACATAATCTTCCGTAAAAGCTCCTCTGACTGTTGCTACTTTCTGCAAACATAATTTTTGGTTTAGGTGCAGTTTATTGCTAGCTATGATTTGATATCAACTTGGAACCTGTTCGAATGAAGTTTGAAGAGTCCAAACGACGCCACGTGTCTCTTTTCATAATCAGGTACATAACTATATTACAGGAGAGAAAAAAAAAAAAAATTGGATATAACTACCGTTAAAAGTTTCATTTTCTAGAGAGAATACTCTTTTATGGTTTGAAAAGTCTACAGAATAGGAAAGTGCACAATCATAATTCTTTATTAATACGGTGAAATTGGTCGAGCTGTAAACTGTACTAAATTGTGGTCATCTCAACGTAGTTAATGAAAAGTATATACTCTTTGATCTTCCTTTCAGTAGAACATACTGAAATATCTATTAGGATTCTCTAGAAGTAAAAACTCTGATTGATCAGCAGCATAATAGATAACTCTGATTTTTCGTGAAAAATAGTGTCATTTCACATGCCAACAATCACCTAGTTTGAGAACCTTAGACTTTTCGGCATTACACTTTTGCTCAATATAAAAGTACAAATTAAAAAAATAAATAAATATATGTATATATATTATATATATATATATATATATATAAACATATTTGACTTTCACATGCCAACAATTATCGCTTGCTATGAATTTCCTGCAAGCCGAGATCATTTTTGCCGAGACATGTAAACTTGAAGCATGAAAGTACCATCTATTGTGAGCTTATTTACCCTATGGTGAACTGATTTGTACTGTTTGATACACTTCAGTTTGCTTAGAAGTCAAAGTTTCAGTTTGCTTAGGGGGCGATTGTATACCAATTCTACAGTAAAAAAACCAATCAAAACGCAAATTTAACTCAACTCCACTATCTTCAATATTATCAATATAATTAAATAGTATCAACCAATCATTCTTACACATCACATCAACTTTAATTCACTTAATTCATTCTTAAACCCGTGCCTTCACTGGTAGGATTGATTTTATTTTATTTTTATTGTTTTCCTGGAGAATATAAGAGTTGTTACTATGTTTTTTCCTTTGTTCTTTCGAGAATGTAAATCTTAAAGCTTACGAAATAATTGTATATTTCAAAACCGCTTATATGTTTTTAAAATAATCAATTCTGATCATTAAGATATCTTGTTTTGAAGGTTGTATGGTTGAAATAATGCATGAGAATCAGTTTAAATAGATCAATTATATCATCTAAATCTGTTGACATGTCTTCTAGGTTGCTACTTGTGCCCTCAATGTTTTGCCAAAAATAATAAATAATAAATAAATAGAGAAGAAAAAAGTTTATGTGGTTTCAATTACAAATGCATTTAAAAATCTCACCTCTCAAGTATAAAATAAAGCTGGCCTCATTAAATACATTGTTTTCTCAATCATTCCTCGTCTGGCATGAGATACTTTTAGGCTTTTTAGCTCACGTACGTTTTGTTCGTGCAATTTCTATTCCTCTCATTTTGGACAGCTAGATGCACGTTTATGATAACTGTGTATGTTATCTTGTTTATATTTATTTAGCATAATATTTATGATAAATAAAAGGTAGTACAATAATAACTCGTTTGATTGCTCATATAGTCATATTTTTAGACAATTATACTTTTCGATAAATTTGTTAGACGCTCTAACTAATAGACAATCACATATCTTCAAAACAATGCTAAATAGTTGTATTTTTTCAACAAATGCATATATTATCGTACTCAAATATTATACTTTAAAAAAAACATAAAATATGAGTTTGCAATTTTGTAAGAAAGTATTAAATGTTTTAACATCATCTGTGCAACACTTGGGCATAAATTATCATCATTACGTTCGAAGATTGGTGAATAATTCTAAACAGTGTAAATCTTGATCTGTTTCTTCAAAATTTTTTTTTAAGTAAAGAATGGTTAAGTGCACGTAGTCTAATTTCTAGCACCTACTCCACTTGTCCAACAACTCCACTTTCTGGCAATTAAAATTACTACCATAAGCTAGGCAATAAGCTTTTTAGAATGATTTCACATTTTCTTAATCAAATTTATGAATAATGAATATATTTAGTTAACATTCGTATCATTATTTATGAACATGTGAGATTTTCTGTAGGCCATATAACATTTTTTCCTGAAATTGATGATTTATATTGGAGTGTCATATAATCTTAATCAAAGATTGTGTGCAAATTTTCTATTTAAATTTATTTTTCACAAGCAATATTTGACACAAGAAAAGTGCAAATAATGGACACGTACAAGAGGTTCATAAATTGGAGATGACTATACTTCAACCAACTCTATTTATCAAATAAATTGATGGTTTAACTGTACTCAAAGTGTCCTAATCGTGCTTATCTTTTTTAAGAAAGTTTGTGCAAATCAAAACTCACCTAAATTGGAGTCTTTATAATATGCTTCATCCACATTTTTCTTGAGCCAATAATCCTATGGATTCCGTGGCCAATGATGATTGGATATAGAAATTTCCCCACAATATTATCTCATAAGAATAAAGTTAGGAAAAATATAGTATTTTTTACATATTTTGAATGAATATGAAATAAAACACACTGATGAATAGAGTTGGTGTCATATGAAAAATAATAAAATATTAAATGGTAATGTTTGAAAGTTAGAAATGTGATTTTCTTTTTGAGAACATATAAAGATTATAAATTTTTTATTTTTTTGCCAACGATAATAATATATTAAACTTATAAAAGAGTACAGTCGAAATATCAACTGATGTCACAAGAACTAGGACAAAACTTAAACATAAGTTCCCTTGGTCTTACACAGACCGCCAAGGGAATAATCGACATCCAAAACATTTTCAAAACGGAAGACAACAAAATACTCAACACAGGAGACTAAAACTCGGACACAACCGAGACTTGTCAAAAACACAAAAGAAAACATACACACACACCTAAAACACAACAAACTATAGAATAAAGTTTCCCCTACT